ATACCACTCAGGTTTTATGTGTCTTTGTTGTAGCATTACAAGAAACTTTGAAAAAGATAAAAGTGACTAAATACAAAAGGACATGTTTTACTAAAATGGATGTGTAATAGCTGATATTCTCAAGTCCACATGATATAACATAATTCACTCTTTGTCATGAGTACTGACATTTCAAAAAATGATATATTAGGTTTGGGGATTTGTACTTCTGACTCTATGAGAAGCTTGTTGTAGATCACAATTCCCACAGACAAGTAGGAAAACCAGAGAATATAGCAAACCACTTGTATGAAGGTACCACCACATCTCGGAGTTGGCTGGGACTTGTGCAGTTAACTCCCAGGAGCAAGCAGTGTGGCACACCAGTTTACTCATGCAACTCACCAACCTGTGGGGCCAGGAATCCAGGCTTCTTTAGCTATAGGTAACAAACAAGAGCAAACTGGCAGAGATTTTTTGACAACTTGTGGTGCTTGAGAGAGAGAGAAAAAAATAGAGATGCCAGAATAATAGAGATGCAAGGGGTCCAACTCCTCCAAGGAGAAAAGGATCCATGACTGAGGCTACACCTGACCTGTTTTCCCCTCCACCAAAGTCAGATGTAGCTGAGACTGAGAATAGGAACAGAACGTCTCTGAACCGTGAGTAGAATATGAAGGTTAGGAACCAGGAACCAGAGGCAGGGAGGCGCCATGGTCCTAATCCTCCTGGAAATCCTGAGGGACTGTACCACTGAACAGGGAATGAACCAGAGAGGAGCAATTGTGCAAAAGCAACGATGTCTTCCATCAACTCGGCTCCTGGCTGCATTGAAGCTGCCAGCTCTACATTATTTGCCTGGAGGGAAGGACAGGAGCTATTGAAGGAAAACATGACTGCTCCACTGTAGTTTGGGGGTACAACATTACACAAAGAATGAGATATTGTTAGTCATTATAGTTTGCATAGATGGTGTCCTCCAAAAGCTCATGTGTGAGACCATGCAAGAACATTTGGAGGTAAAATGATTTGACTCTGAGAGCTTTAACTAATCAGTGCATTTATCCATGTGGATTTTCTGTGTGGTGACTGTAGGCAGGGTGGTGTGACTAGAGAAGGTGAGTCATTGGGAGGACGCCTTTGGAGTATGGATTTTGTCCCCCGGCTCTTCTGGCTCCCTTTTGCCATGTCCTGAGCTGCTTTTCTCCAACTTGCCCTTCTGCCTTCACATCCTGCCTCATCTTGGACCTAGAGCAATTAAATTCAGCCAACTATGGCCTGAGACCTCTGAAACTGTAAGCCCTAAATAAGTTTTTCTTCCTCTACACTGCTCTTGTCAGGTTTTGTTTGTTTGTTTTTGTTTTTGTCACAGTGAAGAAAAAAAGCTGCCTCAAACACTAGTCATGTCAAAAGACAGGAATAAATGATTAAAAGCAGAGAAAATGAAGACAATAGAAACTCATGCACAGGTGATCCAGATTTTAGAACTAGTAGATAAGAATCTTGGAATAACTATGCTGAATGCAGTTAATAAGCTCAAGGGAAAATATGAGGAAAACATACAAAAATATACACTTTTTAGCCAGGAGTGGTGGTACACACCTGTAATCCCATAAGCTCAGGAGGCTGAGGCAGGAGGATTGCAAGTTCAAAGCCAGCCTCAGCAAAAACAAGGTGCTAAGCAACTCAGTGAGACCCTGTCTCTAAATAGAACATAAAATAGAGCTGGGATGCAGCTCAGTGGTCGAGTGCCCCTGAGTCCTACCCCTGGTTTCCTCCCCACATCTATCTATGTATTATATAACACACACACACACACACACACACACACACACACTTTTTTTTACAAGAAAATTTCAACCTACTAACAACAAAAATATGGAATTTTTATATTCAAAACATAACTTGAAAAAAAGTTGCAGATCAGTAGAAGGCAGGATTAGTAAATTTAAAGATAGGTCCATAGAAAATTCACATTTTGAATTAGGGAATAAATTTTTTTAAAAGATTGAAAATGTAGAAAAAATCGTAAAATAGTTATAGGGCATACTGGGGGAAAGTTTAACCTACATATAATTGGAGAATCCGAACAGAGAAAGGCAGAGGCAATATTTAAAATTATAAATGTTGATGAATTTCTAAAACCATTAGACTTATAGATTCAAGAAGCTCTGTACTATAGGCTGAATGATTATGAAGACTAATAGAAGGAAAGAGATATATATATAGAGAGAGAGAGAAATGGGGAAATGGGAGAGGAATGGGAGAGGTGAGAGAGCAAGTAGAGGTGACCAACTCCTGGAGACTGAGTGACAGTGCTTCCTGACTGAGGTGCGTTCATGCTTTCCTACTGACTTCAATAAATTGAAAGAAAAATTCTTCCTGTATCTTCTGGTCCTTTTTAAGTCAAAACAGTTATTTACATTTACTCTGTGCTGGGAGAGGTGCAGATTTTAGAAATGCAGCCACGGGGAAGAAAAGATGCTACCTTCAAAGAAGTGAAGATTAACAGCTGATTTTTGATAAAAATAATGGAAATATTAAGAAAATTGAAAGGTGTAAAAATGTTGAAAGGTAATAACTAACTACTTAAAATTCTATATTCATCAAAATTAAAGTTAAATAGCTTATATGCATGCAAACAGATGGTGATAGAATTAATAACCCTAAGTATCTGCACTCTGAGCTAGGGTGGTAGAGTACAGATCCAGCATGCGTAAAGCTTTGGGTTCCATCCCCACCATAGCCTAAAACAAAAAAAGGAAGAAAGAAAAAAAGAGAAAAAAAAATCTGTTCTTTCAAAGGTATCACTTAAAGATGCATAGAGCAAACAATGAAGAACCAAGAAGAAAGAGAGGCAAAATCACAGTCACTCATGCCTGATAAGATAAACTGACACATGTCAAGTCAGGCTGCAGCAGAACTGCTTGGCACAGTTGACAGATGCCAATCAACATGCCAGTCACAGTGAGACCTCAAAGAACAAAGCAGCTTTTCCAGGCAAACCAACCCACAGGTTATAAAGTATAGTCTAAATTATGGAAATTATTCTGAAGATATTTTCTGACCACAGTGATAATTAAGCTAGAGATAAGGAGTACAGAAATAAAAGTCACTATCTATTTGAAATAATAATTTGCCAAACAATTGATGAGCAAAATATACATACAGTGAGAATCTTTTAACTATTTAGAAGGGAATGCCAAAAAAATACTATATATAAAAACTCATGGGATACTAAAAAATACTACATCAAAGGATATTTTTGCGTTTAAAACCACATATTTTTTAAAAAAATCTGAAATTTAAAAAAAGTCTATAGAGCTAGATTAATTTGTATACATAATTTAAAGTCTCTTAAAAAGCAATCTCCAGGCTCATTTGTATTTGACATTGTATTGTAGATCTTAGAGAAATAAGGCTGGAAAACAAAATTTATAGTTATAAAAATGGGAAAGGAGATTATTAGCATTTATAAGTAGACTGAAGATTGATATTGTATCAACATACAAAAATCAATATAATGTACATGCTTGTAACATTGAAAATTTTTGAATGATACTATGTAAAATGACATCCAACAAAATTAAATAACTAGACTTAAATTTAATGAAAGGTGTTTAAAGGCTGTACATTGAAATTTACAAAATACAAGATAAATTGAGAAATAAATAAATAAATGAGGGAATCAGACACATGTATTTGAAAATCCAACATGACCAAGCCGTCAGTTCTGTAGGTGCTTGTAGGTTTTGGCTTTCTCTAATAAAACTCAAACAGCTTGGGTGGAAATGCCTTCACTTACAGCTGGGCCACCAAGCTTCTGGTAAGCAGGAGGAGAGAGAATCAGAGTACTAGGTGGCCAACTCCTGCGTTTGCATGACAGCGCTTCCTGTGCTTTCACGCTTGCCTGCTCACCTCAACAAACTGAAAGAAAGCTCCTACCTCTGCCATCAGCCCCTTTCAAGTGAGGAGAATGGCTCACATTGGATGTTGTGTTCATCGGGTACCAGGCCCTGTTCTGTGTATTCCCAATATCCCAACTCACTTCATCCTCCCTGAGGCTGGGAGGTTGGTAGCAAGACTACTGCCGTTTCATAGGAAAGGACGCTGAGGACCTGGGAGGTCCTCGTTTGCACACGATCAGCCGCTGGCATTCTGGGCAGGCTGGCCCTCCCATCTTAACAGCTATGCCCTGGCTGGTTCTCAATTGGAGATTCATTGAAGGATTTCTGACCTGGCATAGTGGCCCAAGGAGTCTGCTTCACAGTGTTTCTCAGCTGGGTGGCTACTCTTAGCTGGTGACAGGATGGACAGACACTGTGAAGAGGACAGAGAGTCCTTCATTTTGTTACTGCAAAAGTTGGGATTAACAGAAACAGAATATTACCTTTTCACTTGTTCAGGAGGATGGAAATATCAAATCAAATGAGACCAAATCAAAGTATTTAAGCTGAAGTGAAAGGTGAAAACCAAGAGAGACGAACGCACGGTCTTTCACGAGACATTGAAGCTGGATTTTGTGCCAAGCATGTTCCACCTGGTTCTGCCCAAAGATTGGGTTTTGAGGAATCCCCAGACTCAGCTCAACCCTGCAGACTTAAAGCTTAGCCTGCAGACTCCGTCTCTTTATCTTGGAAGACTGAGGACTGCTACAACATATTTTGGCTATTATTTAAGGAGATTTACAAAAAGAAACATTTGGGAAATTTCTAATCGCATTCAGATAGAATTTGAATTTCCAAGTTGTTTTGGTCATTGTTGCTGCTGTGTGCTAGCATGAAGGAAAGGGTGTCAGCCTCAGTCTGAGTGAGAAGAAAAGATGAGTTAGAAGGGGAGGAAGACGGGATGGGAAGACCCTGTAAGGAAAAGTGTTCAGATTCTTAATGGAAACCATTGTTTTGTGACCATTGAGGGTCTATCAAATGGTAGCATGAGGGTCTCTTAGTCAGTTTCAGCTCAGGCATCTTGATTTTCTTGTCCTTGCCCCCCACCCCCAGAGGAAAGAAAAGGTAGTCCAGTAATTTAGAAGCAACACGAAAATTGACATTATTATTGTAACATTAGAGTCAACCTATAAATTTTATCTTTGCCTGAATTCCATTTTTATTATACACATTATAAGATTAATAAATAGAGAAACCTTGTATCTTTTGGCATGAAATTACATATGTAGGAGTATTGCATTAATGACAATATCAATAGCAGGTTTTTTGGGTTTTTTTTGAGGGTTTTCTGTATACAGGGTGAGAGCTTTACATGTATTATTTATGTGATTCTTCCAGAAACTTGAAAGCATAAATAACATTATATTGCTCATTTCACACATCAGAATCCCGATGTGCAGAGATGCTGAGATATAAGCAGTGTGGCTAGTAAATTGCTTAAAGAACAGAAGCCGGAGTCTAGCTTGGATCAATAACTGCAGCAGACACTCACTTCATTTAGATACCTTATGTATCTGAAGAATTGGTGACAAGAATGGCTATGATTTTTGATCTGTGGGTGATTTGCAGGCAAACTTCAGAAGTCTCCATTACAGGTACAGACAAGCACTACCCCATTGGTTCAAGCTTCAGAGGAGGTTTCAGATAAGTAACACAATTTTATTTACATCAAATCTGTTTTCTGACAGATGCTCATAAAGTGTATTAAAGTGTTATAAAATCACTGCTCTTATTTGAGATGTCTCTGACTTATATTTTAAGACTTAGTAATAATGGTAAACTAGCCATAAGAATCAAATTTAAACAACAAAGAATTGATTTTCTTTGGATATACAGACCTACATGGGAAGGCTTGTACTACCAAGGGTAAGAGCTTGTCATCTGATAGAGACCTGGAGGAAGTGTAGGGACATCACTGTCAGAGCCCAGAATCATTACTCTTGCTGCTTTCCAAGGCAACAGGTGTGAACCTGCAGATGTGATCCGAGTGAGCAAAACTCGCTTTCATGGGAGAGAGTTGGGGAAGGGGTCGCCATTAGTAATAGTGTCAACTGAATGGTGTTGTAAGAATAAGTGAAACAATGTCATAAGTGTTTTACAAGCTTTTATGCTTATAAAACAGTAAGCAGTCTGGCTCTAAGAGGGTGTCTGTGCTGGTCTACTCTGCCCTGAAAGGAAACAGTGCTGAAGGGGAGGCACCCGAGCCCTGCGGACGAAGCAGTTTCTCTGGGTCTTTCCAAGGAAGCTGAGGATGATGAGAGGGCCCTGAGTGGACCCTGAGGCCAGCCGGCTGAGGGTCTGGAGGAGTCAAGTACCCCTTCTCTTGCTAGGCTTTTCATTCCAGGGAAAGAAACAGCAGAGTCTGGCCTCTTTCCTTTTGCAAAAAATGACTTAAAGTTTATTTTTAAACCCTAGAATTTGCTTTCATTTGGAACCATTTCCAGAATAACATTAGACTCTGCCTCCGTGGTCCCCAAATTTCTCTCTCTCAGCCTGCTGGATTTATCACTCTTTCCCGGCTCATTCTAACACAATATTCTATAAAGATATATGAAGATACAGTAACATGGCATATGAGTAAGACTTAAAACAAATGAATGAAGATTTCTCCATTTTCTTATGTATAATGTCAATATAGATGCTTAGAAACGTTGTTTATCCATATACTGATAGCCCTAATTGAGAGGGATTTCACAAACTGGATTTCATTTGGAAACCTCTTAAGTCTGGCCTTGAAGAGTGCAGAATTATCCATGTTCCCTGAACCCAGCAGCCTTGCCTGGATCATTGTTAATTGGTAAATCCTTTACAGGGCACTTAGGGAAATGACAATGAAACATTGATATTCTGTATCCACATTTTAAGAACAATTTTAAAACAATGTATTTTTACATTCAAACCTAATTAGAATTTTTAGCATGATCATTCTTAAAAATCATAAATTAATAATTTCATTCAATTACAAGTTGAATAATACTTCTAAGGACTTTCAAATCATTAAAAAAAGAGCAAACTAAAATAACTCATTCTGAGGGCATGTGATATTAATATGAGATTAATGTATTAAGGGAAAATTAAGTTACATCATATAAAAATTTGATGTTAAAAATACCACATTTAAAAAAGGTCATTAATGTAATAATAACATTCAAATACATTTCATGCATATTTGGAATGATATATTATTTGTTTCAAAACCAAATTGGTCTGAATTTATAATATACTTAGAATTCTAGTGTAGATAATAAATTTATGAAAGGTTTTAAAATATCTAACATTTGCTTATTTAAAATCTATCCACATGATTCCATTTAAATTAGCACCCTCTTTCTGAAAAGTACAATGTTTTATTTTCCTTAGATTTTTTTTCTTATATTTTAACTTGAAATGATTTGCTCTTTGGCATTTGCTTATGAAGAAGGAGATTCCATCCTGCTCTGTTGAAGTTTTACAAATGACATCAAGGTAACCTCTTCATAAATTCCGTGTTGAATGGTAATATATTTATTTTTCCCTGGATGGCGACTGAAAAGACATTTTCACATTTGCTGGGTAATCTGCATGTCCGTACATTTCCCTTCTCTCCAGATTCTGTTTTGTTTCTTTTTTTCTGCTTCTGGTTGATATTTCTGCTTTAATGATCTGAAATGGTGTCTGGTGAGTATCCATTTTTGTGGCCCTTGCTGTATTTATGAAAATATCCATGAAAACTGCAGAGTTTCCCAGGGGTGCTGAAATGGAGGCACAGTCAGCCTGCTGCCAGAGAAAGGGGGGTTTCCATGACCCCAGCGATGACCCTCTCCCGGGGTCTGTCAGCCCCAGCCAACGTGTCTCACCAGTTTAGAGCAGGTTTGGAGACTTCTCCTTTCCTTCACCAGTGCGTCCAGCCAGAAAGTTGCAGCATCACCCTCCAGAAAACGACATGACAGAGCTCCGAAAGCAGACAAGGGGGGTCTAAAACCAACTGCCTCAGGTAATGCCTGGAACGATATCTCAAACGCTCGTCCCATTTTGTGGATACAACTGTGGCTTAGAATGGTCCCCAAGGTCCCAGAAGGGGGGAGGCTGGCCCTAAAAGGTGCATGGAAAGCTCGTATAGCACTCCAGTGTTTCTCTCTCGTCTCATAGCACTTAGCGGGGCAGTGTCCTGGGGCAGCCCGGGTCCTCTTCTAATCCTCCATTCCTCTCTCTCCTCCTATTCTGCTAGTGTTCTAGTCGGCCTTCACATTGCTTGAGTCAAAGCCCTGACAGGAGCAACTTAAAGGAGGAAAACTCTGCTTGGCTCATGGTTCCAGAGGCTCAGTGCATGGTCAGCGGAATCCATAGCTCTGAGCCAAGGTGAGGAGGAACATTATGGTGGAAGGCATGGTGGAGGAAGGCACTAAGGACACGGTGGCCAGGAAGCAGAGAGAGAGCCCTGCTCACCGGTGACAAAATATAAGCCTCCAAGGCACACCCCGGGTGACCTACTTACTCCAGCCACATCCTACCCACATGAGTGAATTCAGCCATTGATTAAGTCACACTTCTCATCATCTAAACCTTCTACCTGTGAACATTCTTGCTTTGTCTCACACATGAGCTTTTGGGGGACATCTCATATCTAGACCATAACAGTTTAGGAGGTTTACCTCCAAGAAACAGTGGGACAGACTGTAGGAATAGAGGCTAAGGATGACTCTGTCCTTGGAGGTGGACCCCAGAAACTAAGTCTGCAGGTGGGAAGGGGCCAATGACGTTTGCAGCTGCTGCATGTGCAGAGGATGCCCCGAGGTGTACCAATTTGTACCAATTTGTCAGTACAATCCAAACCAGAGGCAGTGAGGAGCAAAGCAGACTTTGGAAAACCCAGTTGATTTCAAGGGAGAATTTTAAAGTTCTCTCACAAGTCAAGGAAGAAGAGAGGTGAGACTTAGGGGTATTCCCAAGATTTCAGAGCAACTTCAACAAACCACTAATCACGTGACTTGACTGGAGAAAAACGCTTCAGAGATGAAAAGCACATGCGAGGAACGGAATCAGAATTGAAAATAAGGCTGTGTTTCCTTCTCTCCCAGCCTGCAGTGATTCACGGGGGTGAAGAAGAACTGCAACAGACGCTCAGGAGAAAACAAGGCGCTCCCCGCAATGGAAGAGGAAGAGCAGCGTCACCAACATCGCCCTGAGCTGCACTGGAAGGGAGTGTGAGGTGCCCCACGGACCTCTGGACACTGGTGCAGGAAGCTGTGTGCTTTCCCACCCTCAGGAGACGGTGACAAAAACTCCCCCTCAGGTACGCATGTGTCAGAAGCATTCAGTGTCACATCCCCCAGTAACGTGCAGAAGAGAACCTCCAGGTGACCAAGGAAACAGTACAAAAATTGCAAGCACAAAACTGGGGCTGGGCCAGGTGCAGTGGTGTATCCCTGTAATTCCAGCTGGTTGGGAGACTGAGGCAGGAGCATCCCAAGTTCAAAGTCAGTCTCAGCAACTTAGGGAGGCCCAAGGTAACTTAGCAAGACCCTGTCTCAACATAGAAAGATAAAAAGGGCTGGGGATGTGGCTCAGTGGTTAAGTGCCTCTGGGTTCAGTCCCTAGTATCCCCCTCCCAAGGAACAAACAAAAACCTGGACCTTCACTGAACGAAGGGTGGGGCTGGCTTTCCTTTTGCAATATCAGTGTCTGCCTGTGACTCGGTGGCACTTTTCTTCTGGCTTTACTGTGCTTCCTAACTGTAAGGAAGCATCTTATACCCAAAGTACGTATGTGAGGATTTCCACAGAGTAAGCTGCTGCCACCTGCCTTCTGCACTCTCCCATCCTCCAGTCCAAGTCTTCCCATCCCTTTCCAAGCCCCACGAACCCCTCCTCTCATTTCTATCAGCATTGACTAATTGTCTTGATTTAATACCTTAGAGTCCGACCATATGTGCTCTTTTGTATCCATCTTATTTCCATAGTTGACTTTCATCCCTGCACAATGTTCCAATAAGCTTTTATGCCACAATTTATTTACATATTCTGTGGCTGACAACCATTTGGAGAGTTGCCCTTTGGGGTTATTATGAGTTGCCACGAACATTCTACTTGGTGACTTTTGATGAATGGATGGATACGTTCTTTTGTGGATAGAGAATGAGGAGAGAACTGCTGGGTTAGGGTGCAGATGTGTGTTTAGATTGTGCGAAATTGCTAGATGTGTCTCTAAAGTGGGAGGGCCATCGATTTTCTGAGGAGCAGTATGTGATTGCTGTGGTCACTCGTCTTCCTCTCCAACACTGCAAGTTACATCCTTTTACTTTAGCTGTTCAGGTAGGTATGCAGTGGAATCACATTGTGGCTTTAATATGCATTTCCATGCTGGTAGACAAAGCGGAGCACATTTTCTTAGCTCACTGGTTATTTGAATATTCTCTTTGGAGTATTTTTCTACTCACTTGGCTGAATTATTGTCCATTCCCCACAGTCCCCATGGATTTTTAAGAGCACTTTATGTATACTGGATGTGAGTCTTCTGTCCAACATATGTGTTCTCATTCTCTTTTACTCTTTGGACCAACAGAAACCTCATTGTGACATTCTGACAATTTTTCTTCTGTCGGTACCTTCTTATGTACCACTTAAGAAATATTTCCTGCTCCAAGATCACAAAACCTTCCCTTATATTTTCCTCTAAATGCCTTATTGTTTCCCTTTCCCAATTTGATCTGAAATCTATCGGAAATTGATTATTTTGTGCCGTGTCCAGATGTGTTGTTCTGGAGGACGGTTCAGGGTTGGCGCTGTGGAAGGAGGTACCTTGTTTGAGGTTAGTCACCTCTTGTAGGCCCTCTCTAATCTTCTCTTCCCCTCATGGCTTTGTTCTAACCTGTCTCCACTGAAGATGGATTTCTTTTGGTGTGCCTCCATTTATCACACATATGCTAGGTTAAGACGAGGGAGAAATTTTCTGGAATCGAGAAGGCATGGCTCTGATTTTAAGGTTTGTGGCTGGTACTTTGTATATTCTAAGAATACGTAGATATTTTAGGTGTGTGGAATGTTGCTAATTTTCACTCCTAAGAGTCGGAGGGTTGTAAGGTCAGAATCCAGGAATCAGAGTGGCAGCAGACTGGATCTGTGGGGCACCTGGCAGGCACGCAGGCGCGCACATCTACACTGGGAAGATATCTGCTCTGCTGCCGGGGGGTTTATGCCAGGCCGCAGTTGCATGGGCTTCTTCCCACAGTCTCAGGCCGTTAGATGCTGTGTTGATCACCTGACAGATGGACAGCAATGACCAAAAAGACATGCGCTGTAGTTAAATTTCAGCAAAGGTGACTAGCAGAGCAGCCAGGATCTGTGTTAGCTTCGGAAAGAGAAGGCTGTAAAATCAGAGGATCTGGGTTGATTGGCTAATCTTGTACCTTTGGGGGAGTTTGTAAAGTCCCTAAATGTTTTCTATTGACTGCTAAAAATTTTCTCCAAAATGCTATCAGAAATTGATTATTTTGTACTAGGTATGCCTGGCCTTCATTCCCGCCATGGTGCAGGGATGGCTTGTCAACTGCTCTGTTTCAACCTTATCAGTGCAGACTTGGCTGAGGGTGCAGTGTGGACCCTTCTGTGTGAGATGTAGGGCATGTGACATTGTGATGAGTTAACTTCAAGTGGCCCTAAATGGTGTTTTGGTAAATTGGTTAACGTTTATTTTAAAAAGTGTAAGGTCATAGGACTTTTACTTTACAACATGTGGGCCTATTGTTTAGGTTTAATTAGATAAAGTGGCAAAACAGTGATCATTCTGTACAACAAGAAGACTCTGCTGTTAGGGATATGAGCATGATTTTTAACAGAAACATGGACCGTGTCAGAGGCAGGCTCTCAGCCTCTGTCCCTTCCTGTGTCTTTCTCTCTACTCTATGGACAACACTTTTCAGTGTCTTTGGGAAGAGAAGCAGGGGTGAGGGAGGGGAAGCCTGCTCCTGCTGGGCCAGGGAGGGAGCTGGGGCGGGAAGAGGAGCAGGGCGTGGAAGGCGGTGCAGCAGAGCCCGGGAAGGGGGTTTTCTTTAAGGGGTCCTGGTGCACAAATGCAGGCAGTGCCAGGTGCGCAGGCTGGTGCCGGCAGAGCTCAGAGACCACACGGGGACACAGCCTGAAACGGGAGGTGGCACCAGGTGCACCTGCAAATGCAGCTTATGAAATGGAAATACGCTTCGTGCTTCCTCGCGGAGACATTTAGGGATGCCTGGCCTTCATTAGGACACCCATGTGGTGCCCAGGGCCAAACTGCTTCCCCAGCTGCCCACCAGGGCAGGCAATGACCCATGGGGCCTCCCAGGCACGCTGCCTACCAGGCCCAAAGGGTTACCAGGCTTTCTTAACTCACAGGGAGGGAATTTAATACAAGCCTCTTGTAAAGGCAGCAAACCATGGAGAGGACCAGGAGGAGCCATGGAGGCCTTCCCATCGCTTGGCCCGTTTTCCCCTTCTCAATGTGAGGGAGTGTGGGAGCTGCAGAGACTTACCGCCGGGACATTGCAGTGGCCTTGTGGAAAGCTGACTGTTGGGTACTGTTCCCATGTGGCCAGCTTCCTTGGGTTCACATTAGGTGTGTCCTCCCAAGGTCACCTTCCTGCACGCTCTAGTCCTCCACGTTGGCATTCAGCGTCCGCCCCTTCCCTTGTGAGGGCAGTGGACACCTGGGAGGCCGCTTCTCAAGCAGTCGGAAGACAGAGAGGCTCGGCCAGGAGGGGGGCCTGGGGCGGAGGAGGTGGGGGCCGAGGAGCGTTTCCTGACCCAGCCCCCTGGTGCACAAAGGGGTCTGCGGGGTCTGGCTGCTGCTGGTGCCAAATTGCCCACTAAGGCGCACAGAGGCTGCCAAAGTCCGTCCCTGCATAATAGGGATGTTTGTCTTTGGGAAACACTTAAAGTTCTGCTGCTGGGGTTTCCAGGGCATGAGAATTTCCAGGCCTGGAGAAAGAATAAAAAACCCCACAAAACAGTCCTTTTCTTTGGTGACTGCCCCCAGCCTAGGGCCGGCTTTGTTTTTAGCTCAGAGATTGTCTTTGATCCAAGCCAAGGGAACAAAAGCGGATTATCTCACCTTTAAATAGAGGGATTTCAGCAGAACCATTGAAGAGTTGGGGGGAGGAGAAGCTGGAAGCCTCCAGGATGCCCCCCTCCACTGTCCCAGGGCAACTTGCCACCAAGGAAGTGCATGAGAAAGGGCCCCAGGCACAGAGCAGTCCCTCCACAAACACTGGGACATTCTTTAGAGTGTGTCTGTAGAACAGGGAGACTGCAGTGAAGCAGGAGAGACCCCCCCAGCAGCGGTTGACGTGTCCTGCATGTCCAATGTATCTGGACAGCTAGGCTGGCTGTCTTCACATCCCGGCACCTAACATGGACCTTTATCTCAGGAAGGGGTCACCCTTGGCTGGCTCTGAATCTCTGCTGTCCAAAGAGGAGGTGGAGCCTTTGGATCAAGACGGGCTCCTTCTTTTTCTTCTTCTTCTTTTTTTTTTTTTTCTGTGTGTGTGTGTGTGTGTGTGTGTGGTGCTGGGGATTGAACCCAGGGCCTAGTGCATGCGAGGCAAGCACTCTATCGACCGAGCTCTATCCCCAGTCCTTGCGCTTCTTATGGTATGGGTGATACCTATAGAAATTTATTATGACCTCTTAAAAATAGACACACACAAACACATCCACACACCTGTCTTCTAATTTATGATTGGAGATATGTAAATTTGTCTCTTGTCTCTTGTGTATTTTAGTGATAATAATTATTGACCACTTATTGGGAATTTTATATTAGAGACAGTACTAGCTGATTAAATTCATCATCTCCTTTCATCTGCAGAGCATTCTTGTGAGGGCGGTATTATAACCTAACTTCATAAGGTAAGAAAACTGAAACCCAGTCATGGATATGCCTTAGCCAGGTCTGTGCAGTAGATAGTGGTCTTGGTATTCAGTCCTAGGATTCCTAGTTTGCTCACTTCATGGGGTGAAAAATGCCCCACACCTCACTGGTGCCCAGGGTCCGTGAGTGTTTTAGTCAGCTTCTTTGCTCCCGTGACTAAAAGACCTGTCTAGAACACCTCTAGAGGAGGAAAAGTTTGTTTGGCGACTCATGAGTTCAGAGGTTCCACTCTATAGAAGGTTGGCTCTATTCCCAGAGGCTGAAGGTGAGGCAGGGCATCATGACGGAAGAGTGTGGTGGAGGGAAGCAGCTCACATGATGATCAGGAAGCAGAGAGAGACTCCACTTGCTAGTACAAAATATATAGCCCAAAGGCACATCCCCAGTGCCCCACCTCCTCCAGCCACACCCGACCCACCTTCAGTTACCACTCAGTTAACCCTGTTCAAGGGATTAAGTCACTGATTGGGTTAAGGCACTCATAACCCAATCATTTCTCCTTTGAACTTTCTTGCATTGTCTCACTCATGAGCTTATGGAGGACACCTCACATACAAACCATAGCACAAGGTCTACCTCTACAAGGGACAGACGGAGGTCCGTGGTGGCAGGTACCATCTTAAAAGTCCAAATGCTTTTTTTCCTGATGCTATACAACAAAAACCAATATGCACCTGCAGCTTGCCACATGAGGGTGATTCCCGCAGTGATTATGTGAGATGATGGGCCACAAGAGGCACCCAGCCAGTGGAAGGGTGAGGACTGATCTATCAGAAATGGAGATGCTAAACATGTTCTTCAGAAACCCATCTTGGATAATAAAGTTCTTCTTGTAAAATCCGAGGCTTTGTGCCAAGGATGGACAGATCTCTCTTAAACTTTCAAGCACAGATACTCAGTAAAATGTGTTAAAAACTGACAAGAAAAAAAAAAAGTACTCTGAACCTGCTCAGCAAATTCAGAGGAAGCCCATGCTGTGAGACTCTCAGAACATCACTGTGAGGTCAGCTCTCCGCTCGTGCCGTGGTAAACAGGGCCACGTTCTCCTTGGGATTGAACCAGCTTTGGCACTTTTTTCATTTTCTTGATTCTCTGTGTACCATTAAACTTTTTATGATGCTTTTTGTTTATTTGACGGACAAGGCATTAAATTCAAATTACAACTTGAATGAGATTTACTCAGTTCAGTTCTCATTGTGGGAGTCTCTCATTATCCAAGTTCAGATTTCTAATGTAAATGAATGACCCAGACCCTAACAGCAGGTTTAAAAAGATTAGGTTGGTTTGGTTGCCCCCAAAACGTTTTTGTGCTGAAGTTGTGTTTTGATTGTATCTATTTCTCATTGATGGACATTTTTGGAAAAGAGCCTGAGAAATATTAAAGTGTGTGTGTGAATGTGTACATTTCCCCAAGTAATAAAATTGATAAAGTGTCCCTGTTCGGCCCCAAGCTATAATTTGATATTTCACTGTTGATTTCTGACATTACATTTTCAGTGGAACCTGCACTTGTGTCACACAGTGTACATAATGCTGTTTCAAGCTGGGCCAGGAATGTCCGCAAACCCCTACTTGTGCTGAATCTCAAGCGGGTGGTTTGTAGCTCCTCACCCGCTCCCGCCTTGCTCTTGGGTCATAGACTTTGAAGCAGAAGTCAAATGTGTAGAAATAGCCTTTATTTGCCACTAATTCGAATGGAAATACTGCTACTCCATTTTCTCCCTTTCATCTGCAGATCAGCTTTTTGCTACATTTTTAAAAGTGCAAAGGGAATCTTCTTGGTGGGAGGTCCTGTGTGGTTCTTGAGGTCACACAGGTGGAGAGCTTCACTAGTGGTTTCTTAATTGTGGTCCCTGCCCCTCTCCCTTGATATTAGGATTTATTATTTTCTAGAAGTATGGTGTACCAGCAGATAAAACCAAAAGGCAATCTTTTTTTAAAATGAGAAATGGAATTTTTAATGTGAGTGGAGTAAACTGATTTCAGTTTCAAAAGGCAGTGAAAAAATTATAACTTGGGTACCTGCACCTTTGTTTCATATTTTGTCCCTTATGGAATAAGATAATTAAATTCCTTTTTTCTAGTTCATCCCACACATAGCGTATGTTAATTTCATGCCTGAAACTATTCACTTCAAAAGCAAGCCACACAACATGACAGTTTCTCTAAAACTGATTTGCTGGATTAATCCATTTATAACTGAATGGACTACTATGTGGAACTGTGGGCAGGTAGGACTTGGCTGGAGGAACTAGGTCACTGGGGGTGTGGCTTTGGGGACTGTATCTGCCTCTGCCCCCCGCCTGCTCTGTTTGTGGGCTGCCGTAAGCTGAGCAGCTCTTCTCTGCCATGACCTTCCGCCATGATGCTCTGCCTCTCCTTGGGCCCAAGGTAATGCAGTCAGCAGGTCATGGCCTGAACCCCCGGAACCAGGAGCCAAAATAACGTTTTTCTCTTCTACGTTGTTCTTGTCAGGTATTTTGGTCGCAGCAACAGAAAACTAACATTCTGAAAACCTGGCAGCCTTCACTGAAGCCTGTTAGAGCCGTGGATATATCAATCACAGGTGGTGGACTCGAAAACCAGCCAGGGGAGAGACACCAAGGACCATCACTGGGAGGGTTCTGCCTGTCAAGATGTGACCCTCCCAGGTGAATGGTGACATGAGGCAGGGAGTCTTGCCTAGTGAGCGAGCCATCACTCAGGCTTTGTGTTCAGGGTTTTCCATGGGACCTCATTATGGAGACGTGGTCCGTTGACTAATGGTCTGTGTGGCTGAACTCTGTCTCCCCGGAGGCTGGGCTGATAGCACCTGTCTGCGTGGCCCACCTGAGTCACCCGGGGAACACAGACCACAGTGATCCGAGAACACCGTGGATAACAAAGGCACGCCCACTCCAGGAACCAGAAGGGTGTAGAGGCTAATCCCCAAGGGCTGAGGTTTAAGGCCAGACCTCTCTTTGGGCTAAATTCCTTCTTACACAGATGGGGAAACAAGTCCAAGTCTCATCCCACAGGTCCTTGATATTCTAGGGAGGAGACACCCAGACTACATCAAATGGGAAAACAGACACTATCATCTGGCTATACTAGGGGATATGGGGAAAAGCAGGTAGGAGGAGGAGCCAGAGAGGATGAGGTTGCCAAGGTTCTCATTTTAGTCTCCGTGAGCAAATAGGCCTCTGTGAGAAGACGCTGTCTCATTCAAAATGGGAAGAAGTGAGAGAGAAGGGGCAGGCGGACTCCAGGCATGGGAAGAAGGACACACAGGAGAGAGCTCAGCCAGTGTCAAAGGCCCGAGGCGGAAGTGCCTCAGGTGCCCAAGGGCAGCAGGGCAGAGGAGGGTGAGCGAGAGGGAGGTGGGGGAAGATGGGCTGGAGAGCCCTGCAGAGGATTTGGAAACAGAATCTTTGCACATCACTGCCCTTGGCCGTGGTCTAAGTGATACAAGCGCTTCCAGAGAACACACTCCAAACTGTAACTGCTCATGATCCCGTAAGGATTCTCTTCAAAATTGCCTGGAAGGTAGCGTGGGTGGACACAGGACACCAGGGCGGTGGACACTGTGATCCCCAGAAAGGGGTACCAAGGACTTAGACTAAAGAAAGAATGTGTGTGTGTGTGTGTGTGTGTGTGTGTGTGTGTGTGTGTGTGTGTGAAAACTAGTCAGATCCTGAGTGCATTTTGAATGTGAAGCTGCAGGATTTTTTGATGGATAAGAAAAGGGATATGGGAAAAAGGGAAGAGTCAGTTGTAGTATTTTCAGTCTGAGAGCTTGGAAGACAGAAATTACTATTTGTGGAGATACTGAGACCT